TAACAATTGTGTATCTCAGCATCCTGTGTTAGAAATACTACACAATATGAAAAGCTCTGCACCTTCTTCAAACAACTAATTTAGTACTACTGACACCCGAGCTGTTTAGGTTGGAAAGGAAACCACATTTCCTCCAGATTCTCACTGAAACAGGTGAAGAGTGAGGAGGGGGTGGTCCCTGACGATGACACAGCTTTGCTTAGATCTGAAGCCGGGTAGCTTCTGTTGGCTATTGTTCTTCTATCTTAAGGCTCCGGGGCCTTCTTCACTATAATCAATTCAAATTCTTAACACCATGCAGTTGCAGGGAAAAAATCCTTTCCACATCATTTGCATCATGTATGCTGAAGTTAAGAAATAGCACTGTGTGTTTATTTTCTACCAATAATTAAGTAAAAAGGAAGAAAATCTTAAGCCCCTCACTGGCAGACCAGGTCTTTGGGGGAGAGGTGTGTCGGAACAGGAAGGCTGTGGTGGTATCAAGACCCAAGAAGAGTCCCGCGGAAAGAGGCCCTCAGCTTCAGGCAGGATTCGAGATGCAGCAGGAAGTGCACAGGTTTTGAAATTCACACTGCAGTTCAACTCTGCATAGCAACGACCTGTTCACAGGATCTCTGAAACCTCATCCAAGAACAAGGAAACGACCAGGGCCGGCTGTTCCATAGACTTCCAGCTCAAAGAGCTTGGTAGAAAGCAGGCATAAAGAGTAAGGTATTGACGACAGAGGATGAGATGGTTGGATGACATCACCGACTGGATGGACATGAGTCTGAGCAAGCTCCGGGAACTGGTGATGGACAGGGAGGCCTGGCCTGCTGCAGTCCATGGGGTCGCAAAGAGTTCGACACGACTGAGCGACTGGACTGAGCTGAAATGACACCACCCAAGAGACCATCTAGCAGATGCTCAGGCCAAACGGAGCAGTAAGGACTGGACAGGTCACCTGCAAACGACTTGAGGCTTAGAGACCCCTAAGCACGGCCCTCTGCTTCCGTCATCGCCTCAGGCAAGGCCAGCTGCGGGTTCTCCGCGGAGCTGCTGACTCAGGGGAAACCCAGAGCGATCTGGCTCCAGGGAAACACTATATATTTCTTCTCTTTGCCCGGAGGCCGGAAAACCGAAGAGACTGCAAGGGTAGCGGCTACACCCGCGGCCACCGCCGCCTCCGGGGCGGGAGCGGCGGAGCACTCTCCGACCCCGCGCAGCCTCTCCCGGGTTGACCCCGGGGACCGAGCCGGCATGAAGTGCTGAGTCACGGGGAGGCGGTGCCGGGCGCGGGGGCGGGCCGCGGTGCCGCGCCGCGCCGGGCTCCGGCGCCCGGGTTTTCCGCGCGGCCCTGGGGGCGCGGCTTGCCGCTGGACCCGGCCCCAGCAGGGCCGGATGCGGTGTCCATAGAGTCACCGGGTTCTGGCCCAGTGGGTCTTGCTCTCTTCTGCAGAACTGACCCAGAATCCGCCTTTGGAGAAGGCTGATTCTGCAGGCTACAAGCGCCTTCTTTTCGTCCCAGCCATCGTTAAACCCCTGAACGTTCTGTGTGGGGCTGTCCGCTGCTGAGAACTCACTCCCAGAAGTCGAAAGCCAACCGTGTGCAATCTACGAAACAAACTCGAGAAGTAAACCAAAAAATGCAAAATACTAATAGAGGAGAATGAATGTCGTTAAATATGGCTTCCCTTGGCCTTTACAAGGCATCCTGGAGGACAATTAATTTAAGTAATATATTGAAAATATTACTGTTGCAACATGTAATCAAAATAAAATCACTAATGAGATATTTACGTTCTTTGTGTGTGTCACCTTGAATCTGGTATGTGTCTTACCCTCACAAGCCATCTCCAGTCCACTAAATTTTCTTTGGAAATACTTGCTCTGTATTTAGAGTTCACAAAATTAACAGATGAAAAAGTGGATTTCACACTCCCAATCTGTTCAAAATTTACTTAGAAGTCTTCCAGTAGTCACATAGGACATCAGTTTAAAAATTTCTATTTTAGTGGATTAAAATCAAAGTAAAATTCAGTTTTTCCAATTAGCCACATTTCAAGTGCTCAGCCACATGTGGCTAATGGCTTTTGTACTGAACAATGCCAGGGTATGCATATGTGAGATGAGATTATAAGAATTACAAAATGATCCTTTGGATGCCTGGCTTGGATGTGAAACAGTGACCAACACTATCCCTTCCTCCCCATCCCCAGACCGCCTTCCTTCCAGTTACACCAAGCACTTTTTTAGAGCTAAAGATACAAGAGGCCTGAAGCAACTCTATCCCAGAGGAAGTCACTATCTAGCGTGGCGATTCTATCATAATGTAGAAACAGTGATATGTACAAACGCAACCAAAATACAGAGAAGAGTAACTAGGACCCAACGAAAGAATAGGATTGTGTCAAGTGGAGAATTCCAACCAGAGAAAAACAACAGAAAGTCAGAACCACACAGATCTTGTGATTGGTGGGGAGAGCACAAGGAAGATTGGGCTATGGGCAAAGTAGAATGAGGCTTGATTTTTAAACCAGCTGTTGAAACAGATGATTGAAACATTATCTTCTGAGCTTCAAATAGCCTCACATCCCCACTCACACTCCACACACACACACACACACACACACACACATACACACACATCCCTGTGGACATTACAGCCAGACCTTGGGTATCCATGTCCCCAGACTCTGAGATGGGCAAGTCCAATATGAAGGGTGGGGAGAAGAGACCCCTATGATCATTTATCCATTTGGCAATCAGTAACTTCAGTTCAGTTCAGTTCAGTTCAGTTGCTCAGTCATGTCCGACTCTTTGCGACCCTATGGACTGCAGCATGCCAGGCCTCCCTGCCATCACCAACTCCCCAAAGTTTACTCAAACTCATGTCCATTGAGTCCGTGACGCCATCCAACCATCTCATCCTCTGTCATCCCCTTCTCCTCCCACCTTGAGTCTTTCCCAGCATCAGGGTCTTTTCAGATGAGCCAGTTCTTTGCATCAGGTGACCAAAGTATTGGAGTTTCAGCTTCAGCATCAGTCCTTCCAATGAATATTCAGAACTGATTTCCTTTAGGATGGACTGGTTGGATCTCCTTGCAGTCCAAGGGACTCTCAAGAGTCTTCAACACCACAGTTCAAAAGCATCAATTCTTTGGCGCTCAGCTTTCTTGTAGTCCACTCTCACATCCATACATGACTACTGGAAAAACCATAGCTTTGACTAGGCAGATCTTTGTTGGCAAAGTAATGTCTCTGCTTTTTAATATGATGTCTAGGTTGCTCATAACTTTTCTTGCAAGAAGCAAGCATCTTTTAATTTCATGGCTGCAGTCACCATCTGCAGTGATTCTGGAGTCCCCCAAAATAAAGTCTCTGTTTCCATTGTTTCCCCATCTATTTGCCATGAAGTGATGGGACCAGATGCCATGCTCTCAGTTTTCTGAGTGTTGAGCTTTAAGCCAACTTTTTCACTCTCCTCTTTCACTTTCATCAAGAGGTTCTTTAGTTCTTCTTCACTTTCTACCATAAGGGTGATGTCGTCTGCATATCTGAGGTTATTGATATTTCTCCCAGCAATCTTGATTCCAGCTAGTGCTTCATCGAGTCCAGCATTTCTCATGATGTACTCAGCATATAAGTTAAATAAGCAGGGTGACAATATACAGCCTTGACGTACCCCCTTCCCAATTTGGAACCAGTCTATTGTTCCAGGTTCAGTTCTAACTGTTGCTTCTTGACCTGCATACAGATTTCTCAGGAGGTAGGTCAGGTGGTTTGGTAGTCCCATCTCTTGAAGACTTTCCCACAGTTTGTTGTGATCCACACAGTGCTCACTAAATGTTAGCTGTGGTGTAAGGGAAGCTGGCACAGTAAGTACATACTTTCTGATCTCAATATGTGTATGATTTAGCTGCTGTCACTTTTAGCCTCATCTGTCATCTCATCTCTCTGTTAACACATTATCTGAACAATTATTTGGTGGCGAGGTACCTCTTTCCTTCCGTTTCCCTCCAAGATAGGGCCAACTCCAGAAGTTCCTAATATCTTCCACCTCCATGGTAAGCTCACAGGATCGTCGTTTTAATCGCTTGATGGGTGACTTGCAACCCTGTGGTTGCGATGAATGGTGTCTGTGCCATCCAAAGAACCTATGTCATCAAATAGTTAGAGACTATACAAATACTTAATATGTTCACGTCTTAAAGCCTATAGACAAATTTTCTTGCCACACCATAATGCTCTCACCCTGTTTTTATAACTGTGAGGCCTTTCTCACCTAAAAAATAATCTGGTGGATTCTTCATCAGCTCGGATAATCAACTTTGTTCCCCAACTCAGTTTCTCTTTTCGGATTACAGAAAAAGGAATTTCACAGAGATCATTTGCCTAAAGCCAGGAGGACTGCGGCCTCCGCGGAAGCTCCCCCTGGACTCCGCCCTAACCACGCCTCTGCACGCCTACCCCGGGCCCCCGAGTCTCCGCGGGGGCTCGGCCCCGCCCCTCTCCGGCCCCGCCCCTTTCCCCGCCCCTTCCGCAGCCTATAAAATCCGGAGCGGCCTCGCGCGCCCGGGAGCGGCCGGCCGGCGGACGGGAGCACTGGGCATGCTCGGCGGCGCAGGTTTTGGTCACAAGTAGGAAGGAGCTAGTGCACGACACCGGCAAAGAGAAGCGCCAGCCGCCGCCGCCGCCGCCTCGAAGCAGGAGCGGTGCGGGAGCCAGAGCGGGCGAGGGGTCGGGCAGAGGGCCAGCCAGCCAGCCCGGCCTCGGGGCCGCCGCCCGTGCTGTGCGCCCGACCCCTGGATCGGTCCCCGGGGCGGCGAGGACCCCGCGCCTGGGAGCCAGAGGGGACCGGACCCTCCCTCTGCCGGCTGGGGCCCGAGGGCGCCCCCCAACCCCACCCCGGGGCTGTGCCGCCGCCGCCTTCTGCGGGCAGCTGAGCGTCCGGCCCGCGCCGCGCGCCCCGAGCCCGGAGCGGCCGCCGCCGGCCCCGAGGGCGGAGAGAGGGGGCGGCCATGGGGCTGCTGTCCCAGGGCTCGCCGCTGAGCTGGGAGGAGACCCAGCGCCACGCCGACCACGTGCGGCGGCACGGGATCCTCCAGTTCCTGCACATCTACCACGCCGTCAAGGACCGACAAAAGGACGTGCTCAAGTGGGGCGATGAGGTGAGTGCCCGGCCCCCCGCCGCCCCGCGCCCCTTTGTTCGGCGAGGCCCCGGCCCCGGCCCCCTCGGTCCGCGCCCTGCGCCGCGCTGCCTCGAGGGTCCCCCCGCGCCCGCGGGCGCCCGGCGCTGTCCAGGCCCTGCCTGCTCAGAGCCTCTGGCCAGACGTCTCTGTCCCATTCATTCATTTGGGGTTCCTCTCCATTCAGCAAACGCGGAGCGGGCTCTGGGAAGGCGTGAGCGTGCCAGAGTGTGACACCGTGTGCCTGGAGGAGTTTTCAGGCTGGGGTGTCTGCCGCCGCCGCCTGCTGATCCACTGTCCCCGTCCCGTCTCAGAATGCCACTAACGTGAAGGGGACTAGGTTGGTTTCAGAAGGCCGGTTGCTTTTCGGGATCAGGTCTAAAGGATTTCATTTCCTCCCCACCTCATCTAGGTACCTTTTAAGCCTCCAGCTTCTCATCAACCAACCCTCGACCACAACTTTATAGGTGTAAATTAAAACAAATTATGGAAACTCGGAGAGCTTCAAAATTAGGATTTGTTAGTGCCTTTCCATGGCTCAAATTTAGCCTGTAAGCTTTCCGAATCCGTGCTTCCCCATGTGTGGGCTTCCAGGTGAAATGCCTCTAGATTCTCAATGTTGAACCATTATTTATTGGAAGGATCTGGAAAGCACTGCCTCCTGTTAAGAGTCTTTTCTGCCAAAGCTTTCTGTGCCTGCCTGCTTTTTCTTCCTGTTTTTAAGAATCGCTTGTATATACAATTTGAATCAAGTGACTTCTCAAAAGGTCCATCTGTTCGTGTTTTACGCTCCATGGCTTGCTCAGGTGTAAATTATTTATCGTCTCAGCAGTGTTCTCAGTCTTGACCTAAGTGTCAGGGTGCTGCTACACCAGTGCCAGATCTGTCTCCTTACAAAAAGTTAGTTTTTCTATGATCGGAAAATGCCTCTGTCTCTCATAGTAGTTGAAGGAATTATGCTCTTGTAAGCTAGAAAAGTAACTTGACTTGTAACTTATATTTCTACTATATGGTTTGCCATACTTTATTGGACAGATAATTCTTCAGTTTTAGTCTAAAGCTCCTTGGTTTTGTTTTTAACAGCATCTGACATTTCATGTATTTGTGTATTGTATGTATTTATGATCTTTTCTTGTGTTCCCTCTAGATTTTTTTTCCCTCCCACATCTCCCCTTCCTTTTTCCCCGCTAACAAACCAGTGTCCTTAGCAATGAAGAGTTTACTGTTTAACAGAATCCACAAATTAGGAAAGTTATCTTAGATTTAAGAAATAACCCACTGACCATTTATTATTACTTTAAATCGTGCTTCAGTCATGTCTGGGTAGAGTGTAGGATTTTCACAAAGAAATTCCTGCCTGCCAGCGCTGACAGTCCAGTTGGGAAATGGGCAGCCTGACCTAAGGGGAAGACTTAAGAGTGTGTAGACTTCCCAGGTGAGGAAGAGAAAAGCCACACTCTTCCTCCTCCTGGAATGGCACTTGACTGACACCTTAGTCTGCCCCAGGTCCGTCCTCTCTCCTCTCCTTGACCCGGGGCATCCAAATGCTGATTCTCCTTTGTGGTACCTCTGCATCTTTGGGCAGAGAGAAGATGTGACTTGAGGGTTGCCGGGTGGGAGGGGGCGGGGGGTGCGGGATCTCATACCTAAGTATTTGCGTGTTTGTGTACCTCTGGCATTATATAAAGGTAATCACTGTTATGTTACCGAAAACTATTTTTCAAACTGGAGCTCATGATCCATTAGTAGGTTGAGAAATAAACTTAGAGGATTTTAGGAATCTGATTTTTTTATAAGAGATTTTTGTGTCGAAAAGGATACATGACCCGATTCGAGGTTGGTTGAATCCACAGATGCTGAATGGAAGGCTAACTATGGACCTTGAGCATCTGTGGATTGTGGTGTCTGGTGGGTCCTGGAACCAGCCCCTCATGGATACTGAGGGATGACTGTATTTTCATTTATTTATTGTGTGTATTTTATGGTCCTTCCTCCTCCGCTAGATTCTTGTCTCTCCAAGACTGTAAAAAATGAGGAGTAGGATGGAGAGTATCAGTTTATCATACATAGCAAGGATATTATGTCAAACCTGAATAATTTGAGTGTGTGGGGGTTGGTATGTTGCGTGCCTGTGTTGCAGTAAAGTATTACTGTGGTTGCAGCTAAAGGAGTTGGGAGGTCAGGGTCCCACACTGATCATGGCAGACCTCTCTGTGAGGTGGGGTACTGAGAGCAGGACGGAAGTTAACCCTGTTAGCACTGATCCTTGCACTTGGGAGCTCCCTGTCACAACTACTGAGGGACGTCTGCAGGCAGGGTCAGCCCACAGGGGAGCTTGTCTGTATGCAGAAGCCTAGGCAACAACCGGGAATCAGGCCGGGCAGATAAAAGTGGGGAAGGGTGTGGTGGGGACTGTGGCCCCGGAGATGCAGGTTGGCCCCACCAGACAGAAAGGGGTGTTCGGGACATGATAGGTTGGGCTGTGTTGGTGTGATACCAAATTCTGCTCTTCCTGGAGGTTTTGGTGTTGTGCTTACAGGACCATGGACTTGGATTAAAAAAAGAAAAAAGGAGCCTAAGCCCATGGCTGGAAGGAGAGCCTGCCACCTTGGAAATCCCTGGTGCTAGGGCAGTGTTTGGGGGTGGTTATCAGGAAGAACTTGTACTTGGAGCTGCCCTTGTGTTGTATTCCAAGGCCTGCCAACGGCCTATGTGGTCATGAGCCTCAGTTTTCTCCTTTGGAACTAGAGAGAGTTGCTTCTCTTTGAAATCCCCCTGGGCATAGCTCATCTTTAGACTGCTGATTGAAGAGAGAGAAGGCTGGCGAAAGGGGTTGTATCGTGCAAATGTGTGTGCTGGCTTTTTGAAGCTCAGAATTATTTTCCTGTGAGAACCCTAGAAACGGGCAGATTCCCAGGTCAGCTTACAGGTGTAGGTTTCGCCTTGAAAGTGGTAGGTCCCAACCTCAGCCACCAGTGATCTTGCTGTTTCTGGGGGGAATCAAAGTTCTAACTACCAGGTACAGAGAAGATACTTCATGTAGGCCCAGGATGGGGGTCTGGGGAAGTTGAGATGGGTGTTCCTGGGGGCCCTGATAGACATCTTTTATGCCAAAAAAAAAAAAAAAGCACTTCTCTCTCCCCAGCCCACACACAATGTTTAGGTACAGATTTTGTTTATAACTTGGAGTATGCACGTTAAAAGACAAACGTAGGAAGTTTATAAAAGCTGCGCATGCTGCAGTAAACACGACTCCAGTATCCCTCTAGCGTCAGCTACCTGCCAGCCTTTTCAGCTACTTGGTGGCACAGGCATTATCGGAATTGAAATCTGTCTGACTCCAGGTACCTTTCTTAAACACATTATACCAGGTTTTGGATTATTTACAATGTATGAGATTTCATCAAATTTCTTCAAACTCTGCTGGTTAGAAAGGTATCAGAAAAACGTTTTAAAGGAAACATACATTTTTCTGAGTGTGTTTTTTTTTTTGACCCAGTATTATAGTGACTTTCAAAGGAAAGGTCAGTTGTCCTCTAATTAGCAGATATAAGTGCATGTGAACTTTTAAGAGGAAAATACATCTTTAATATTTATGAGTGCATTGATATTATGCATAAAACCGTGAGATGGATTTATAAAGGGCTGGCATATCACTCATTGAACTTCAAATTACTGTGTAGGTTGAGGATGCTTACATGACTAATTAGAAAATGCATAGCTTGTTACCCATTTTAAATGTAGAGCTCAGTGAATTTTAAGAAGTGTATATAGCCAGATATCTGCTACCACAGTCAAAATTTAAAATATGAAACATATATATTGTATATAACACTTTGATGCCCTCCAGAAGTTCCCTTGTGCCCTTTGCAGACATGTGAGACTCACAACCCCTCAGGTGATTCTGCTGCTTCAGCACGTCATTGGGAAGCTGCCCTATCTAGATAAAGAAAAGGGAAGTCATTCCAGGCCAGCGAGCAGTGTAATAAAGGTGAGACGGTGAGAGGTTCTGTGCCTACTGGTGATGTCCGTGCAGTGAACCGCAGGATTGGAATGCAGGGGTCTTTGGATACATAGAAGCTTTGCTGTACCTTAAAGGCGCAAGGAAAACACAATGGAAGGAAAGATTTATTCCTTCTATACACCCGGCTCACCTCGAGGGTGTTTCCAGACTTCTGAATGAGTTACTAACACCCCATCGTATCCCTGTTGAATTCCTCTCCATGAAGAGGAATGTCCAGGATACCATTTCTAGTGGTGCCACTTCCAGAAATGTCTAGAAGTGGTGTTAGCAAATGTACTTACAAGAACTCTGTGGGTAGCTTCATTTTGAAGGAGAAACCTCAGTAAAGTTCAGTGTAAGACTCCATATCTTAAGAAAAGATGGCAGAATATTATTTGAGCCTCTCACACAGAATTTGTGTTTCTGAATGTTTATTTCGACGCCCGAGGCATTTGAGCATGTTGTTATATGGGGCATTACTGCTGTTGCATTAGCTGGATAGACCATTATCCTAATGAGCTTGCTTATTCATATTCTCTGTTTATACATTTGACCAAGTTAGGTGTGTTTTAACAGCATTATTTAGATATAGTTGACATAAGCTGCACATATTTAGACTGTACAATTTACTAAGTCTTGATATATATATAAAGTATATATATATATACACATACACCTATGAAACAGCCCCCATAGTCAACATAATGAAGATGCATCATCTCCAGAAACATCCTTGTGTCTCTTCATAACTCGCTTTCCATCCCTCACTTCTGTAGGCAACCGCTGACCTGCTTTCTGTCACCATAGCTCAATTTGCATTTCCTAGTTTTATATCTAGGAAATCACACCGCACATACTTTTTGGTCTGGCTTTTGTTCTGACTCATTTGTGTTGTTGGATGTATCAGTGGTTGATTCCTTTTCATTCCTGAGTAGTATTCCGCTGTTATGTATACATGATAATTTGTTTATCTTTTCAC